AATGAATATCTTCTCACTACGGTCGCATCCCCCTTTGAACTTTCCGCTATGGAATCCTCCCCGTCTCTTTCCCATCCCTTGCATTCCCTTCCGTAACTTACGGGAAGTTTTCTTCTGAGCGATTGGTTACACAATGTGGACGTAATGCTTAAAATAATCTCATGACATCGGAGGAGTCAGGACAGGTGTATGCCGAGGTATATAAGCAGGGTGATTCACAATTATGTACACAGTATAAACACTCGTTTGTTGTATCTCAAAAGTATATTGCTTAAACACAAACCAAAAATAGTTTTACATGCATTAGATATGTGGGAATGTGATGCGCGGAAAAAGTTAGGTCAGATGTTCAAAATGTCCACCACTGGCACGCATACACAAACAGCATCATATCTTAACAGCCCGACATACAGGAACACACATGTCAACTGTGATTTTACATGATTCCTGTTGTATCATGTCCCATCCACATGTAATCCCAAACCTGGCCCTCCACAGTGAAAACCCGAACATTTCTTTACAGAAAGATGTTAATTTGCTAGTGGTGGACATTTTGTACATCTGACCCAACTTTTTCTGTGCATCACATTTCCACATATCTAATGCATGTAAAACTATTTTTGGTTTGTGTTTAATCAATAAAATTTTTGAGATACAACAACTCAAAGTGTTTATACATAATTTTGAATCACTCTGTATATACATATATAGAGAGATAGATAGTTCTATCTATATACGTTGGTGTATTCCAGTGACGTTGATTGCCCTAGGGCTCGAACCGCCATTATTCGGGGCTTCGTTTTCGGCCCAACCTTATCTACTCCTCTAACCTGGGTTTTCACAGGCCCGGGGGCGATGAATGATGAATGATGGGTGATGGGTGATGGTTCCATGCTGCTCAGACCCTATGCTTTCCTTCCTCGCACATCGAGCGGCCAGAGTGCAATCGCAAGGAATTCCTGCCTCTCGCACGATGGAGCACTTAGTGGTCGAGCCCCGAGGAGAGCAGGTGGTACCCGGTGGCAGCTGGGTCCGTCGTCTGCTCGGATCGTCGCAAGGATTCGAACCTGGATCTCCCGCGTGTCCGTTTCGAGGCCGGAAACACGGCCTGGATTTCTCGCTTCTCCTTTCATCCTGGTCTCTTTTCGTCCCTAAGAAATTTTTGTCGGTCGAGGGCGAGGTCATTCGGCGCGGAAAACAAATTTCTTGCTTCCGTGGCAAGAACGGACTCGTCCGGTCTCAAAGGAACACCGACGAGTTCCATTACAGTGGTAGTAACCAGTCGTGGAAAGTCGATCGCCGACGGCCGACTTGCGGTTCGTCAGAACTTCTCGTTACGAAACTCTCGAAGAATGGAACGAAATGCCGAGTTTTGGACGGATGCGAAGAAGAAAAAAGTGATGTAAACTCGCTGGAAACAGATTTGCTTTCCAGAGAAACTTCTTTCATCGATGCGAGGAATCGGATTTCATCGAAGCATCTGGACCGCATGAGAGAAAGCTCGAAATCTTGAGTCTCTCCTGGCTCGGCTCGCGAGTTCGAGAGCGAGTGCGGCAACAGACGTTACGATGCCGTTTCACAGCCTCGTTTCCCGTTTTCATTCCGCAAACTCTCTCATCGGAGTTTGGGAGGATGATCCGGCTCTTGGTTGCGATTATAGGGCGGATGATCCGACTTGGCGTGATGGCAGGACGCGTGTTCCACGGTTTCTGCTCGTTCAACCTCCCACGATCGAGCGACGTGTTCGAGAGACTCCTACCTCCTCCACCTCCTTCCCTCCCTTCTTTCCTCCCTCCTTCCCTCCCTTCTTCCCTCCCTTCTTCCCTTCCTCCTTCCCTCCTTACCTCCCTCCTCATCTACCTCCTTCTTCGCTTCGCGTCACGAGGCATCCGTGACCGAATCATCACTCCCGGTCGGAGGATCCGGGTCAGTTTCCAGAATACTTTTTTATCGTCGGTTAATGGAAGATGGCGATCGTGGGGGTTTGGATACATCGACCTCGAGGGGTCTTGCGGTTTCACCGTAGAAAGCGAATCGAGTTCGTTTTCGTACGTTCGTTCCTTTCTAGTTCACGGTCAGAGAGACTCCTCCGACACGAAAATTCGTGGATGGTTTTCTCGGAGCAACCAATCCATCGGAACAAAGCCCAGTCTGTGGTCGTCTGTTGCGTTCTATCGTCCCGGGTCTGATCGCCATCGATCGAATGCGGCGCATTTCGGTTGCGACTTCATTCCCACCCCGAACGCGCGGATGGCCGCTGGCTGCTCTCTCGAGTCCTCGTTCGCGTGTTGGCTTTCGAGGACGCACCTCGTCACGACCTCAAAATCGAGGCATTGCCGTGTGCCAAGGCGCAGATACGGCACTCGTTCCCGAGCTGCGCGTGGGAATCACGGCACTTCGACCGTCCGCATATAACGTCGTGTGGCTTTAGACGCAAGGGAAGGAGATCGGACGAAACTCGATCGAAAATAAAGTGGAAAGGGGGTCCTCTTGCGAGACCACGAGAGGGAAAAGAAGGAACACCGTGGAACGGATAAAAAACGGACGGAAGGAAAAACAAAAAAAAAGGGAAGACAAAGTGTGCGGAGTGATGGGGCCTTTGCCAGTGGACGAAACGGTCTGGATCCAGGAGGCATCCGTACCCTTGGGTCCTCGAAAATTCATCGCATTTGGCGAATGCGGGAAATGCGAAAAGAGGTCAACGGGTTCGGGCAGCGGCGTAGCGTCGATGGGGGGGGGGGGACGGGACGTGCCCCCTACTTTTCAAGAAAAGAAGCCAAATAAAGAAAAGGAAAAGACCCAGAAATGCATGATAACAGTATCCCAGAGTTCCCATGCCCCCCCCCCCCCCCCACCNATAAATGCATGAAAACAGTTTCCCAGAGTTCCCCTGCCCCCCCCCCCCCCCATTGAATGTGGTCGATGCAAAGTTTAGCTACGAAGAGAGATAGATCATGACCGTGCGAATGAGCCTAACAAGGAACATGGACGCTGGGAAAAAAGGAAATGCTGTGTGCTATTAGCGTTCCGTCTTCTTAGCTTTGTATCTCTGTCTCTTTTTGTAACGCCATTTTCATCTTTACATTCTCACGTTTGCATCTCTCGTGAGCGTCGCCATGTCTGCTGAGGGTTCGTCGGGTTTGTCGTCGTGTGTCGTCGACCACTACGAATCGGTTGCCGCGGCCAAGTCACGAACAATACCAAAGAAGCACGGAAGGCCCATGACTCAACTTTCCCGCAGGAAACAAGTCGTTCCGATGCTTTCCTTTCACTCTTCAAAATTTATATTCAGTGGTCGCAACTTTCCTAGCCCCGGGTTCGACAAACTCTTACACAGAGGGATCGGATTAGATCTGGCACGTTTTCATTTCCTGCTAAAGCGAGATCGCAAATCACCCGTCTTTTGTCAGTTAGGAAGCAGCAGCACCAGAGTTTTGTTCGAGACGGCGCATTGGGATATTCGAGTACGCCCTGCAGGTGTAGAGTCATACTTTCCTACTGGAGTGTGACCCAGGCTGAGCGCGATATGAAGAAATCAGAAAAATTTATAGAGACCTGTGTCAACAAGTGATGCAAAGCGAGAGAAAACCGGTTCTGGATTTTATTCCAAACATAGGCAGCGATTTGAGAAAAATGGGGGGGGGGGGGGGGGGGGGGGGGAACAAAAGGGGAAACTGATCCTTGAAGGTGCAATGAAGGGGCTTTATGAAACCCTGAGACATGCACGAAATCGGCTCGGGTTACAGCTAGTCGGCGAAAAAAAACTCCTCGGCGCACATGCAGATATGCGCTATCCGTTGTAGAAGATATTAGATACGGTACAGAAGTAGAAGGACTTTCATGAACTCAGGATCACGATCCACAGACTCCAGAAAAAATGGAAATCCCGAAATTTGATCATTTATTTTTCTGGCAACGACGAACCGAGTACGTCTACCCTGTATCTCGCCGAAAGCAAAGACCCACATACATCTAGTGCATGGCCACCGCTTCACCCGTCGATAAGGTGTCGGGTCCCCCTTGGCCCGAACCCGGTCCAGCCAGGAAGGTTACCGGCGCGTCCACGTCTCTTAAGGTGCCCATCGTCCAAAAAAAAATTACTCTTACTGCGGGACGGGTTCGAGAGTTTTGCTGCAGCACGACCGGACGTTCCCGTCGAATGCAAGAATTCCCATCCGACGCCATTCCCCGTTAGAGCGCAGTCGGCTCCTGCCTTGCTGCCACCATGCTGTTGAATCCAGATCATGAACAGGCCTTATATACCAGCTGCGGNCCCCCCCCCCCCCCCCCCCCCCTGTAATTTCATAACGAAAGGCTTGGTCTAGAATTGTAGTTTTCAGCCAACTTTACCAGATTACTGGGCTAATACCTCGACTGTACCAGCAATTATAGAGGCAATGAAGCAGCCGAGCGTTTGTATGTTAAAACACCATGAAGGTGTAAAAAATCCGCAGCCCGTCTACACAGCTAATTTTTCCCTTATGGCTTTTCCGCGCTTACCCGCAATTTTTAGTCCTTGTCGTCCAAGAATCTTCGACGTGGAGAAAATAATCACATCCGCTTTTCTGGCTGGTAAATCGGTCATACGAACGTCTACTGAGCGGAGCACCTTTCCAGCGACTTCTTCCATTCACTGAAACCATCGTTTATGAATGCACCCTCTTGTTTGCGGACGTGAGGAAGCCTTTCTCGACGCTTTCTTGTAGATTCGACAGACCCACCTATCCAATGAAGCTTTTGAACGATGGCCAAGAATAACGTACCCACCATTTCGGTTGGACTAACAAAAAAGTTTAATAAATTGTTGAGCGAGCTGAGCCCCTTCGGGCAATTTTTTTTTGGGAAGGGGGCGAACTCCCTGTGAATACAAATAATGGTCACCTGCTCACAATCATCTTTCATAAGTAGATCGAGAAAAACTCAAAAATACGTAGAATATGTATGTTCTATATGTGAAATAATTCAAATGTGCAATTACTACAGGTTTTATTGAGAATAAAATGCACCAGGTTTGACCCTTTCAGGCCTGAATTAAGGCCTGAAAGGGTTAATATCCTTATAATTTTTATATCCTTTTTTGTATTTTTGAGGTTTTTCGTGATTGTAATTGAAATTTTCATGCTTTAAATGTAGTTTTCTTTATGGAGGACCCCCAATTTCGATATGAAAAAATGCAAATTTATCAGTCAAACAAAAGTCAAAAAGTGTGCTGCTGGTGCTCCATCAGACATGAATGTTACATTTAAAATTTTTTCAAATTGGCAGTTGTATACTGGCGATTGGGTATACCATCAATATTCATAAAGAAGCTTGATAAATTCTATGAAATGAAACTTGAAACCTTACGCAAGAAATGCTTCATGCAAGATGTTGATAACTGTGCTCAATTTTATACCACAGGAAACTGGGGGAACATAAGACTACTGCTACAGAGAATGCAATGCCATGAGCATATAAGCAACCCACTCACTCACCATAGGAATCTCTTACTCTCCCTTCATTTTACAACATGAGGAAAAGAGAAAAGTGAAGATTATCCCAAGTAGAAAACAAATGAAGCAAACAGCAACTCAATAATAGACTGGAGACCTGTATCACATTTTATTACAAATATGACAACAGTAACCAATCTGCAGGAAGAAATACATGAATCACAGAGCCTGTGATAATTTTCACAGCAGCATGAATGCAAAAAGTTTCCCAACAATTCTAAAAATGACCCTGCTTTGGGTAGGCACCAAAGAGCACTTGTTCCCTTGGAGCACAGGCTAAGTGTATCCTCTAATCTACCTCTCAATTCCATACACTATCTCTTTGCTCATGGTATGGTAACATCATGGATCAAGGAGAGCATAAAGAAAATTATTAGGTAGTTTTTTTTTTATCACACAAGGGATGACATCAAATGGATGTCAACACATCCAAAAACAGTGAGAACAGACAAGTAGAGAGGAAGTTTAATGCTAACTTATTTGTCAAATTTTTTGGCACACACCAGCAATAGTTGTGCATCAAAGGCCAAAGAGTTACCATGGTGAAATTAGGTCAAAACATATGCATTTGATACATTAAAATACTGATAGGATATTTTAGGGGTTTTGTTGTAGTCACATGATGATCTTGTAGAAATTCCATGATGCCTTGGCTAACTCTTTAATTTTTGTTCTCTGTCTTTCAGGCACTCAACATCTTGAAAACTTTCAATTCAAGTAAGACAACTATCTATTAAATAACTTAAAGAAAATGTACTTCTGATAAATTAGAAAACAAAATGCTGGGTAGACTCAGCTCAAACTTCCAAACAGTCACTGATTAAAGTTTGCATACAAGCTTTTCTTATCTAAACCTTGATGAAGGAATTGACCCGATGGAAGAGAAGGGAAATGAGGGAGGGGGGTAGAATAATGGAAAACCAGTGTTAAGATTGATTAAGGAGATTCTGCAAGATTCCTTTCTTGTACAGTTCCTGAGTTTCCTGTCCTCCTCCGATGCATTTCCCATTCACAAACACCCGTGGGACCTTGAAAAAAAGCACAAAATTCAAGATAAATTATATGTAATAGGTTCACCGGGGATCAGCCACAGTCTTGTACTGCAAGTTGTAAATATAGACTCCTCACAGTTGACTGCCCAGTAAGGTCAGCAAGGAAATACTGCATCTCTCGGCCGTCTGGACGCTTGCTCAAGTCCACCCAATGATACGCTTCATTCATCTCTATGAAAACCTGAAAAGTAACACCTTTACCAGTTTAACAGGGTAGGCCTGAGCACATACAAATGCGGTGAAACTTCACTCACATTTTTTGCCATGTGGCAATAGGGGCAGATGTTTTTAGCGAAGATAACAACTCGGTGCTTGGAAATGAGATCGTTGACATCTCGAGACACCTTTTCGGTCACCTCTGGATCAAGCTGGGATGAAGCTGTCCCCATCGTCAATTGCCAACTCCAGTCAGAGCTCAGCTACCACTTTCAATCCTGATATCTGACATCCTCACGGCAGTGAGGAAACAGGGAGGCACGCAGTACTTTTTCTTTCGCCGTAAGACTACTGCGACTGTGCGAACTTTTACTGACACTGCGATTCACATCGCTACCATATTCCAGGTGGTGTTGCCCGGATTCCTAAGCGTTAAAGCGACACTTTCCGCATATGTAGCCGTATGAAGTCGCTTGGATAACTCGATAATGAACTTGTCTTGCAATTTCTCTGTTTATGAGTAATTAAACTAGGGCTTAACTTTGTTGTTTCTCGAAAGTTTATCTCCGGTAGCAGAAGATATAAAAGGGGAAAGCAACCGTTCTCTGCTTGCCACGGTCTCCTGGTGGAGCACGTGAAACCTGCGTGAAACAGGCAGACCTTGACGTAGTCCATGAGAAATGAATCTTCTTCCTAACCAACTACTTTGCGGTAGACTTTGATTTAGGCGATGCCTGGAAGGATCCGTTGAACATTCATGCCTTGTTTCACGAAGAGCCTATCCTTAATGGGAAGGACTCAACCCAATTTAATTTTCTGTCTGTGGTGATTTTAGGTTGATTGCATTTCTACTTGGTTGGAAGCGAGAAGAACTTAATTCCCACTTCAGTCGCTGGCTTAGCTGTGGGAAGTTATTTTGAGACAGGTTATGTTGCTCAAGTTAGATTACATGAATAATTCTGAAAAGGAGAAGTGAGTTGCAATCAATCGTAAATCACAGTAGCTACCATGTTGAAAAAGAACCCTATACATCATTGAGTAAGGTGGCAAGTAACCAAGTCTACGTTGCACACTAAGGAGTTGAGCAATTTATCCCCATAAATAAATAGGCCTAATTTTTAACTCATTTAAATTGGCATTTATTTCAACATTACAGATGATACCAGTCCATCAACTGGTTTTATCATGTCCTACCTCAGTCATGGGCTCAAGCTTCATGTCAAGATGTGCCAGATATTTCAGGAGAAAATTTGGCATTTCCCGGGATTTTTCCCAAGCTGCAGTGCTTGGGAACCATTCACCATTTCCTGCCTCTGGTTACACCGTGCTCCCAGAGTCTGCTCGTGTTGTCATCTGTGGTGGAGGAGTCACTGGGTGCTCTATTGCATATTACTTGGCAGAATGTGGCTGGGCAGGAGAGACGATAGTCCTGGACATGGGAAAGTGAGTTGCATTTTGCATTTTAAGACATTTTTGTCAGAAAGGCAACTGTTTCTCATTAGACCTACTGATAAATGATTTTCTGGAAGCACTCTAGCAATGGGTTTGATCAGACAAGGGAATGCAAATGTCTGGATTATGATGCAAGATTTCTCTTATCCTGGCATTTTTATGTACTGGGTTAAAAAGAAAAATTAAGGTGTACCCTGGGGAAAGCATTGATGTAGACTGGGAAAAAATCAAATTATATCAATATGCTTATGAATGTAGGTTGTTTATATTCATGGCAAGTCTTGTATTTGGAACCTTGGATGCCTGGGGAATATCTATGAATACATTTACAGCTGATAAAGGATTGATGTCCATGTGGTAAAAATCCTGTAGTAAAATTTTCCATTAAGCGGTTAATGAAGTTACTTCTAAGGAACTTTAAACGATACATTTGAATATGGTGTGTTAAGGCTTGGGGAAGGGACGAAGTGGAGAGGCTCTGGTCTGATAGGAACCTTCAAGTCCTCTGGAGTAGAGTCAAAACTAGTCAATGACAGTATTCAGCTATACAAGAGTCTAGAAGAGAATGGATATAAGACTGGCTGGAAGCAAGTTGGATCCCTCCTACTGGCTCGAACTAGGGACCGTGTTACAGACTTCAAGCGCTTGAAGGCACTCTCTGTGTGAGTCTACAAGTCCTATTCCATCCATATTATCATGATAATTTCCTTTGACTTCATCCATTAGAGGTTTCTATCTGAATGCTTGTGATGTTAATTCTAGTAGTTCGTGATTAATCAGCCTATTTTAAGGTAATTACATTTACAAAGTCACCTGGTGTATGTGTCATTACCTTTACTAGATGGGGTTTATCTGTGTCAGATGAGGTGAAAAACATGTATTTTAAACTAGAAGCTCTGGTATTTGGTTCAAAAATTCTTTGCATATTGGAGCACATTAATGGAATAGCAGATAAAATTACTTGCTGTCTATCAGTCAGGCAAACTACTCTTGCAAACTTTATGGTTGCATTTTTTCATGAAATTATCAAATCACAAATTCCTTGCCTACATGAATTATTTGGGTGTTATTGTGATAGCATTTCATTACACTTCCAAGTTCTTATAAATGTGTGGTCATACTCTTTCAGATAGTCAAACTTTTGTGTGCCAGATTGAAATGGAAATCATATGCTTTAAAGAAGTTGCAGCAGATTGCTCATATGACTTTCATTCTACAGTTCACTGGTGGGTAGTGACATAGTAGATATGTGTTGAATGTTATAAATACACTGTAAATCTGTTTTATATTTACAACAGGGGGAGGGGACATCAAGGGATGCCCAAAATGCCATTTCTCACATTATTTTCCCATAGACCATAATGGTTTCAACTCTCTTGCTAGAAGTACAATTTACATGGTTGCAAAACGTCTTTCCATTTGACCACTGCCATGTTTTTATGGCTGCACAGAAATGTTTCCTACAAAGTCTCTTAAAACACTTGAGCATGCATCAAAGTTTTCATATGAAACAGACCAGAGATTAAATGTTGAAATATGGACCCAGGCTTTAGTCAATTTTATATCTGAAAATCTGGAAGAATCTGTTCAGATTCTTCAATTATTTTACTTTTGTAAGTGTATCTGGTTACTGAGCATATGTCAGCAAAGTGTGGACTCAGTTGGTGGGATGTATATGAAGTGATATATTAGGTGCTAGGTGGTAAGATCATAGCCATGTTTTTTGTGCTCCTAGGTACTGAGGCTTTTCTTGGTCTCAAAGAAAGCCATGTTATACCATAAACATGATATTATGTGGAATCAGTGGTGTCCTATACCATCCCATTACTGTCAATAAATAGTAGTGATGAAGTTGACCCTTAATTTTCCCTATCCTATGGTTTAGAGGCATGTTAGACATTAACATTATTATAATAAGAAATTTGCTTTCAAATTTCCATTGGTTAAACTTGCATTTTAAAAATTCCATGATTCCAAAATTCCACATCTCTGCATTGAGTTGATGAAAAGTGGGAAGATATTGCATTTTGTCTCTATTAAAAAGGGCTCGAGACATTGAGTGTGAATTGATATCACCTGAAAAGGCTCAGGAGATGTGCCCATTGATTCAAGTGAAAGATTTACTGGGAGCATTGAGGCTCCCTGAGGATGGTGTTGCTGACCCACATCTCCTCTGTACCAGCCTTGCTTCAACTGCATCTGTCAAAGGTACCACTGTGAGATTCCTTTCTTTCTTTAACTTGCCAAGGCTATTCATTGAGGAATATTTGTATACTTTTTTTAAAACCATATATTTCCACCAGACCCATCTTTTCTTCTGCATGCTTTTTTTTTTAATACTGTCAGATCCTGATTCCAACATCACCAGAAACAACTTGGAGTGGTTGACTGTCAGATTTTTCTTTTTTTGTAAGCTATACTGCTATTTATTCATCAATTGAGAAAAAAGGTATGTTATTAAATATATATTATTAAGGTATCCACTTTCATGAAGATATAGGTAGTTTTTGGCCACAGGGAAATGACAACTCTTAAACTTTTGGGGTGAAAAGGAGAAGCCAGTAGTGCATGTCATTTTCTTACATTTTGAGCATACTATGATAAAAATTCTCATCAAATGCCTCCCATTTCTAAGAACTAGTGGCTTCTTAGAGCTCCAATAGCAGCTTTGGCCCAGGGTTGGTTATTGTTTTGGCTGCATGATGCACTGTGTCTCAAAAAAGGGAGGGGGGGGGCCAGTTTGTTTCTTGAGTATTTCCATCACATGTCATCATGTGCAGAAAAATACATGCTGTATCAGGTGAGTAAGAAAGATTCCTGCAAAGTGTAAAATAATTTCATCTGATGCTTTGCACACAATAACATTTCAAATGTAAGTATAGAAAATCACAATGAACCAGCAATCAGCACTCTGCTTATTGTCAGATGCATCACTTTGGCATGCTCCAAAATGACAACACAGTCACAGGTGGTCTCATAGGTGAAATGGATTTTGATGAATTCTTTTTATCTTGTTAATCATTCAATTAGATTTAATTAGCTTAAGTTTGATTCCTTCTTAACTAAGGACCAATTCTTTGATAGTCTTGATATTTTCTGCTGTGTGGGTTCTCTACTGCCTGCCATTTCCATGTTTTCTGCCAATTGATTCAGTTTCAGAAAAAATTTCAACAACTTATCTAGACCATACATTTTTTCCCCAAAGGAATTTCTTCCTGAACCTGCAAAGTTGTGCGCCTTAACCTCTCACAAGCCCTTGATCAGGTTCTTATCCTCTTCCCTGAATCCTGTGATATTCTTCTTAATTATGAATACTGTGATTCATAAAAGGACAAAAACTGTAAGATTGGAAAGTTTGGCCTTAGGCCCACAGAAAATGGTGCTGACAATATGAAAATGCAACCTGAACCTATAGTAACAGTGAAAGCACAGGGTGAGTAGTATAAAAAACAAAGGCAGTCTTGATGATTTATGTTGATCATATTGCAGGTGTGAGGTTCATTGAGAACTGCACTGTGGAAGGGATTGAGACAGCCAATGGTCGTGTGAAATGTGTGAAGACAAACAAAGGCACAGTGGAGACACAGTACTTTGTTAATGTGGCAGGTCTCTGGGCAAGAGGGATTGGACAACTTAGTCATCCACCTGTCAAGGTCCCCATTCACCCATGTGAACATTATTACCTCTATACAGAGCCAATTGAGGGGTTGGATTCACACTTACCAGGTCAGTTACTTTTTTCACTTCAAGCTTTAAGGTTAGGTTGTGATTCATGGAATGCAGAAGGTTTAGAGCACATATGACATGTCTAATTACTACTGCTCTCCTAAATTGTTTCCTTCTTAAACATTCCATAAAATTGGTGAGCATGTACATGGCTACAGTGATCAGCTTGTATTTGAACAATTTTGTAAATGATGGCATGACTTGCAGTGTGTTATAGTATTGAAAAAGACCATGTCCAGATATATTCTCAGCATAAAATTTATGTCCTGTATTGATGTACATGGATTTAGTAACATGGTATGCCAGATTGAACCTTATATGCCACTGTAGATATAATTTCTGGATGTGATGAGTAGGCAAAAAAATATTGATATTTTTTTGCATGCTTTGATATAGTGGTACGTGACTTGGATGGTAATGTGTATTTCCGTGAGAGGGATGGACGCTTTCTGGGTGGAGCTTTTGAAAAGCTAGCCAAACCCTGCTTCCCGGATGGAGTTATACCACGTAAGCCCAACCTTTCCTTATACTGCTGCAGGATTCTTATTGCCTTGAAAAATCGTGCAACCTGAAAAAATCAAGAAAATTTATCATGGAATTTTTTGTTGTTGGGAACTTTGAGTTTCCCTTAATAACATGCATAGGTGCATAATCAGTACACATGCATTGTCCCTTTTGTCACAGATTTTCATGGGTTAGATTAGGATGAGAATTCTGGGACTAATGGGAATCTAGTCCTTGGGAGCTTGGACATCCAAGCAATAGTGATCTTAGACTTTATGCCAGGATACCATATATCAATTTACTTTTCAGCTGTGTCATTCATAAATAGCCCTCCTAATTGATTAGTTTCACGGAATTTGCAGCCTTAGCAGTTGTAGCATCATCAATTTTTTGCACTTGTGCTACATCAAAACAGATTTTTTAGCTTTTATATTTTAATTTGAGGTGGCACAAGTTAAGTGCTGGGTGCACAATGTCCCACATTGAAAATATGCCTGAATTGAAGTTGCATTGCTTATTCTGTACTGGATTTGTGCCATCTTCCTTACTTCCTCACTCATGTCATCCTCTTCCCTCAAGTATAATTTGGTATGAAAATTCCTAGTTTTACTGCTATTTACTAATGAACTTTTTTTAGGAATGGAAAATAGATTATATATCTGAATTCAATTCAAAACAAGTCAGGAGCTCAAGTACGTTCCTGTGTACAGTGCTTTTATCTGTATACCTCAAGGAACAAAGAAACATGAATGTCTTCAATTGCACCCATAAATTCTGCTTCACCATGGCATACTACTTGGCTCTGACATTGTCTTGCCCCTTCTGTGCACTACACTCTGCTAGTGAAGCAAGGGAAATATCCTGATTGTTGAAAGGTTCAAATGATATTAAGTGAAACAAAACTCAAGATTGGATTGTCTCTCAAATGAGCACTATGGCTGAAGACAGAGATATGGATTGGACTAAAATAAGGTGGTATTACTTGTGCCCCTTTTCACACAGTCCCAACATACAACAGCTTTATGTGAATGCCAGATGTGTTAAAACTGCTGTTGAACTGGATTTTCCTGTGTCTTAGTCTTGATTGGATTAATACTTATTTCAGACTACCAACTACTCCAGGATGCTATAGGCCTGTAGTAGTATGAAGATTTGAGGCAAATTGATTCTCAAATTAGTATAGAACTCTATTTTAAAAAATTTAAGTGTTGTTTACACATCCAGTCCTGTGATAAAAAGATCTCAGATGTATGACATCAGCATCAACAGCCTGGAATTGAAAGTCTCCAATATGACATGTGTTAGCATTCAGTTTTTTTTTAAATTGGATTAAACTACTTCAGGAAAATGTGAACATTTCAGAAATTTTGGTGTATATGGGTGGATTGCATAAAATTGACGAGCATAATGAAGCTTTAAACTTCTATTAGCACTGCTAAAAGAGGTTTAAAGCTTTATTATGCTAAAGTCAGTTTTATGCAATCCACCCTATAACATTAATTTTCAATTATCATCTGATAAATAATTCATTGTAGTGGTTGTATTAGTAAGAATTATACTGGGGCTGAATATGTTAAGGACTTGTACATTTTCACTTTTTCTTGTTGCAGAGAAGTTTTCAGATCTTCTGGGGGAGGACTGGGACCACTTCCATCCTCTCCTGATGGAACTCCTTCATCGGGTTCCTTCACTTGGTGGTGCAATTCTACATAAACTCCTCAATGGGCCTGAGGGCTTCTCTGTCGATGGCAAGTTCATCTTGGGTCAAGTCCCTGAGGTAGGTCCCTTGAAACAAGCCTGCACTTAATCACCCAGGGAAAGAATGACTTAATGTAAGGATGCCCTTTTTGGATATGGTCTTTGAGAGTCTTTTGCCGGAAGTGTATGAGAGAGCTTCCATCTCAGAAATGCCACATCTTGTAAGGAAAAATCCAAATATGTTTCTACAAATTTATGATAAGAGCTGATATCCTGATGTACCAAGGACATTCCTTGAAAAGTGAGAAAATCAGAACCTGATGCAGTTTATTTTTGACCAAGCCTCTTCTGGATTTGCAAGTTTTATATTGCATTAACATGAAGCAAAGTTATGCATTTTTGTCGGTTTGCACCATCTGAAGAGGTTTTATTAGGTGAAGTTGGGGTAACAATGTCCTTGGTAGAATTTTCTTTCCTCTTTTGGCAGCAATACATGGAGTAATCTGCCCTTGATTCACCCAATACTTTGAGTTACAGAATTTCATAAGGTGTCTACCTTGGTATTTAGGAACTATGAATTGCCATTGTTACCATGAAAGTTACAAATTTATGCGACCTTCAGTTTTGCAAGGGCAATTCTTAGTTTTGCTCTGATTAGAAGACATTCTGAATGCTACAACTCATAGTATCATGTCATTTTGATTCAATTTAGTCTAATGGGTGTATCCAGGTTGCAAGTGGGTTCATGAATAGATAAAATGAATGTACCATTCACCACCTCACTCAAAATACTTTAAAATACTTAAGCTCGACTCAAAACTCCACTCTTCCCCAAATTTTTTTCAATTTTGTCAAGTATAATTATTTTCTGAATTCTTGGCATGCAAAAATGTTTGCCTTGCTAAGAATAAAATGGTTTGGATAGAGTAGGGATACCCAAAGTGTGACTCACTGAGTGCTTCTATTATCTTTGGAAATATGGGAATATAAAAATGAATTGGAAGTGAGAAAAAATACAATATATAAAAAAACTGATTCATACAGGGATGTGAGTGTTGCCCCTTTGGGTATAGAGACATATATTTATAGCAAGAGAAAGTTCTCACTTAGCACCTCCCTCACTCCTTCACCAGCACCCCATTCCCAAATCAGCACTGGCCTTGGCTTCTTCTACAGAATAAGTTTTTGATTTTGTTGCCTGCAACTCACAGGCTGTGTGTCTCTGATGACCCAAAACTTGGGCATCTCTGGGATAGAGCTTTTCACATTGGTATCACTGGTCTGGAACCAATGATTTCTTCCTGTGCAGATCCAGAATTACTTTGTGGCAGCTGGGATGAAGTCAGCAGCGATTTCAGCTGCAGGAGGAATAGGGCAATTGATAGCCAATTGGATTGTGCATGGAGACCCTGGGATGGATGTAAATGAGTTAGACATCACTAGATTCCTTGGCCTTCACAACAACCCACGCTACCTGTGGGAAAGAATGAAAGAAGTTCCTGGTCTGTATTCATTCTTGCTCAAGTCATAATTGCAGAATCCATTTAATTGTATAAATTGCAAGCATGTTCAAAATGAGAGACCAATCTTGTCAAAGCTCTGTCATTACCATGTTTGTATCATTTTGTGAATCTTCTAATCTGGAATAATTGGTACTGAGGTTTGACATTTCATCCATCATGTATGACTAACAGACACCCCCATTAATTTTTCTACACACCAGAAAGGAATACCAACAATCATGCTAAAAAATTTAGGTTCATTCACCTAAAAAAATTATTGGGAGTGAGATCAGGAGAGAGAAATGAAAAGAAAGAGGAAGATGAGTCATATCTACTTTGTGTCCATTTGTTAATGATGCCCTTTTTCTGCTTACTCATTGCTGAGAATAGCATAGCTAAGCACTGAAGGCAAGCTTTCAGAATAATTCAGGCATTTCCTCTTGTAAATGGTTCCTTTGGAATTCAGAAGAATATGGATGGGAACCCAGATGAAAGGCCCCTTTGGACCCTCTAATCCACTTGTGATGTAGCAGATGATTTTGGATAGGAATGAAATTTGCATAGAAATATTCATGCTTTATTGCATAATATTGCTGCAGTTTTAGAATTCTCAATGAATTTCTGCTGAAACATTTTTTTGGTTGTGCAAATACATTTTTAAACTTGCAGCATTCAGACTTACCAGCATCTGTGTAATGGAAAGGATGTATTAGAAAAGGTGTTCTGGACCCATCTTGGCAATATTTTGTAGTGTTGAGAATTCCCATTTTGTAACCTTAGTTGGAGCTTATGCTTAAGTTTGATTCATTGGAAATAACCTATAATGTCATTTTTCAAGGCTGGCATTATCGGGTGAATTTTCCTTGGAGGGAGTTTGAAAGGAGTCGATGCTTGCGCATGAGCCCTATCTTCTTGAAGCTGAAGGCAGCTGGAGGAGTGTTCCAACAGGTCATGGGATATGAAAGAGCTTGCTACTTTGATCCTCAAGGCATTACTCTTCCACCTCAAGGCCCCACAGGTCAGGCTGCAGAGACAGAAGTTACTCAAGGCCAATTCTTATAGCAGACCTCAAGATTTTAGACCTATTGTAGATAATATCAGCACACTTTCCAATGCACTTTACTACATCATCCAATATATAGGCTGCAAGGGTGGGTTACCTGTATTTCATAATAATAATTGACTGCAGATGGCCTCCTCTTAGTCAAAAATAAACATTTCCATACCCTTTTCTTTTCTGCACTAGGACCAGCAACAGACACGCATAGGATCGTCCTGTGGAATGATTTTGTTATACCATTTCTTGCACATTAACCCTTTCTTGGACTGGGATATTTGAAAGTTTCAAGGATGTTGATGTAATATTACGTTGATGCAAGAGGAAGGGTGAAAGAGACATAGAGTCTTTGGCTTAATCTTGCACCATATGACTTGTTCCAATGTATAATGTTGCAAAATGGTATATGGGAGGGTATCCAAAGTATAGATACAAATGAGTATATTGAGTTTATGTGAGGTACATATGAATTTTTGGCATGATCACTTTACTAAATAATCTCTCAAGACAAACTCCATATTCAGACAATGCACGGCAGATGCAGCCACTTACTACATAAATGGGATATCAGGAATTGACCTAACTGTGAACACAGCAAAGTACAGACCATGAGCCACATCGTTGACCATTGTTCTATTCATGCATTTCCTGGAAGGACTCAAGCAACCCTGGATGTTATCAACTGGCTGTCTAGCCTCAACAGATATCACTATCTTCATTGAGTCAGTTGCAAAGAATTCTTTTGACATGTCATGGAGGGGTAGTGGATAGCATCACATTTCTCTGCCTTCTGCATGAACAGTTGGAGGTGTTTTTGTCTTTACTTTTGGATGGCCCTCATATCATATAAATTGGTGGCTGACTGTTACTTTTCCATCATTTACAAAGATGAATAACTTAGGTGGCAGCTGTTGCCTAACATCTCAATGATGTAACCAAATTTTTCAGTTAGATGACAAGAGCACCAATTGCTGTTGCCTATAGAAGCACTTGAGAGTGTGCTCTGTCTTAAGTTTAAAACATTTTTAATTTGAAAAAGTGAAGGGAGGGAGGATGGTAATACATGATCAAGACCATTCAGCAGCTTTTGTGCATGTTTGCACCCATTTCAGTGAGAAACAATATGAGGCATTTATAAATATTTCTCATATTCTTTTGAAGGATATTTGCCTGAGGGAACCATCTATGACTGGGAGTCATCATTACGCATTGCCCGCACTGAGACATTTGGGAAGCCACCATGGTTTGATCTTGTTCACGGAGAGTATCTAGCCTGTCGGGAGCGTGTTGGAATCTGTGATTTTTCCTCTTTCACCAAACTTGAACTTTGGGTATGTTCACTTTCACTAATCCTCTCCCACTTGGCCAACTGGTTATCAACTTGATACAACCTGATGTGAACCATTAGATTTTCCATCATATCCCTAATCCCATAATCATACCCATATCCCTGTCCCTTGTAAATGTGAACATATGAGGGCTAAAGAATCCTTTTCAGGTCCCTCTCTTTCTCATGTAGATACTAGAGCATAGAGCATCACTACTAGTTGAAAGATCTTGTGCTTGTAACTCTCCTTTATTGGAAGGCCAACAACTTTGCACTCTCCATAATGCAGATAAAATGGATAGTTGTGGCATAATTTCTCAAAGTGGATGCCAATAACTGCTGATTTATATTAAGCTTTTCCATCTGAACTTTCTCCTTTTGACATTCATTTTTCCTGTAAACACATGGGTTTAATTCCTATTGGAAAGCGTATTGGAATTGTGCAAGGGCTGGGGAGAGGCTCAGACTGTTGGCAAGTGAGGGGTAGAGTCAAGAAAGGGCCTGACTATGGGTTCGAACTTAACTGGGCTCTGACAAAATTTTGCTAATTTGTCAAAAGTCCATTTTATTATTAGGTACAAGAGGTACTTGATTTCCAACATGGAATGATGAATAATACTGGTGTATATTACATATGGGAAAATAATATTTTGGATTCCTTTCAACCTCCTCCCTCCCATTTTTCTTTTTTTTCCCTCCTGGTTGTGCCCTTTCATTTGAAATGGAAAATAGGCCACTTACTGTCTCATTTGATCCCCTCTCAGGGTTCTGGAGTTTACTTCTCAGAGTTACTTTGCCCCATCAGGTTACTAATCAGTACATTGGATACAAGCTAAGACTTGAAGAAATAAAGAAAACCAATGACACTGAGTGTTCATATTGAAAAACTCCTTGATATATCTCACCAAATTTGGTTGTAGTATTGAATATCTTTTCTTTCATACTAGCCAAGTTTTCCCAACTTCCTTTGATTTTTTTCATAGTAATTGGTCTTCTATGCCCTGCCCTTTAGTCCTCGTCTCCAAAGGAAATATTTTATGAACTTTGAGATAATATGCTGAATTAATCTATTAATCTGCAATTCATTGGGAATAAGCTCATGAAAACCATCTGTAAGAGATGGCCAGCAAAGGATGAATTTATATGGAGGATGAGTTTGGCATGGCCTTGAAGACCAGGAAGGACAGCACTCAAGTGTTTCCTTTTATTCTACTATCCACAACCAGCAAGAGCATTTATCTGTTCTCAGTCTGATTCTCAAATCCAACTTCTTTTCAATAATTGCTGATGGTATCGCTTTATACCAATAAATTCAAATTAAAACTTGACAATCAGTTGGAACCATATTTATGCATGCATTATGAAAGTTATGTAAAAATAACTCCAGTGTGAGCAGAGATATCAAGGTTAAAAGTTGTTTGTCTTATTTTTTGCCATATCCTATGTATATTTTATAATAGACTGAGTTATGAAAAAAATATCACCTTGGAATGTTGGTCTTAGTAAATCCTAAGCAAGGAATTTTATTGGAGTTTTCTGCTGCTATTTATTGCCTCTCACTAAGATTCTATTTCTTTTAAAGTTGGCATTCATCACTGGTTGGGAAAAAAATCTTTTGCAGTCAAATGGGACAGAGGTGGTGGATGCCCTCCAATACCTTTGCTCCAACAATGTTGATATCCCAGTGGGAAGGATTGTCCACACAGGGATGCAGAATGCCCAGGGAGGATACGAGAATGACTGCAGTGTTGCACGCATTGCTCGCAACAGGTTCTACCCATTCTTTTTCATTTCTGTCTTGCCTTCTTCAAGGATGACATAAACCTTCAAATGTCAGTCCATGTATTTGGTAATTTACTCATTTAAGCTGTTAAGTCATACCTCATGTTGGTAGATTTCAATGATCCATGAGTGAAAGACTTATTCAATTTGTTTCCTTGAAGTGAGGCAACTAAAAGCATTTTACTGGGTCATATTTACAAATAATTTTAGCTTCTGAAAATGTTATTGCGAAATTTGCAAGATTTTCGTTTCATTAAGTATAGGTATGGGTTGTCCACTCCCTCTTATTTATCATGGTGCCAGTAATCTGGATTTAAATTTAATATAGACAAAATGAATGGGCTTTGCGTGAATCTCAGAAAGGAATTATACCAATTTTTGTTAAATGATGCAATTAAACATGAATGAATTTCAATTAACTCTGACAAATACTCTCCACTGTGTAAACATTCTGACATTGTTATGACTTTGTGGTCCACTGTCGGATATAGTCCAACAATCTTCATAGCATTACAAATAAATTGGACTGCAAATGGTTAATCTTGATTTTGTAAAATAAATGGAATGTTAATGAAGAGTGACAACATAATGGCAGCAGGGGAGCTCTTAAACAGAAAAGGAAGAAGGTATTCATTTTCTCTATTTTCATTTTTTTTTTATATCTCTTGGAATTTGAGGGATGTAGGCAACTTTTGGTCCAGCCCTCTTTCCCCTATCACATCCACTTATCAGGCAGCCAGAGGGAGGGAGGGGAGAAGGGTGAAGAAAAGCTATCATATCTCAACTATCCCTGCCCTATTGAACAACATTGACCTGTTGATCCTCATGACATTTATGTTGGACTGCTCCTTTAACCTTTATAGTACCAATGTGGATTGTATTCCATGCTGGATGTAAATCTGTATGGACAAACATAGAATATATTCCACACTGAACAGGGTATTTTGTTACATGGCCTATTGGGTTGCCTGTTGGGTTATAACTCAAGCAAATCATATCACCATGATCTGGAGGGATATTGTTATGATAAGCTTTTTATTTCATTTTTATCTTGCAAAAAATGCTAGAGATATTGATTTTTTTTTGCAAAGGTAAGCACTTATGGGGTTGAAGAGGACATTTAAATTTGGGCTGTGAGAAGACCTAGGCATTTAAACCTGGTATATTGAAGGTTAATGAATCCCTCCAAATGAATTTCTTATTTCTTCTCTCTCTGTCATATGAAAGGACATTAACCCAGATATACCTGGAGTTTTATGTGTGAGACAGCATGCAGAGATGCACATGAAAAATTCTCTAAAGGTTCACTTGTCAGCTATTTTACTCAATTATCTGGTCAGAAAACATGTTTATGCCAGGCATTTAATAGGTGGTCAGATAATTCTGGGTAACATTACTAACATATGAAATTCCAGAGTGTTTTTTGTGTACATCTCTGCACATTGTCCTACACACTGATCTCTTGAGTTACAAAAAAGGAGTAAGTGGGTCATAATTGAAGCCTGTTGAAGCATACTGTGTGATTTTTTTTTTAAATCCCAAATGAGGGAAGGAATATGAGGGGTTGCTCAAGTTCACGATTCTTTTATATCTGCATAGTCATGTGGCATGTGACTTGATGAAAATTTTCTCCCTAACTTTCATGGAAAATCAGAACACATGTTCTGCAAATTACAGATGAATCACTGCTGGAATCAAACTTATTTCCTTACTAATCAATTGTTGCTTACCCATCATTGGAAATGTTATTTGAGCAGGTACATGCTGATTGCCCCAACAATCCAGCAAGTGCGGAGCCAAGCATGGATCCAGCGTCATCTGCCAACAGATGGAACTGTGAGCATGCGGGACATCACATCAATGTTTACTGCCCTATGTGTCATGGGACCCATGGCCCGGCATCTCCTCTCTGACATCACTGATGTTAACCTCTCCCCCAAGACCTTCCCTTTCTTCACCTTTAAGGTCAGATATGATCCACCTACCTCATAAATTCAGCAGAACATTTTACAAAATTTGCCTTTTATAATTCACACAATTGATAATATGCAAAATTATTTTAGCATATATGTGAAAATTTATTGGATATTTAAGGGAAAGGCAGCATGTTACCATTCAAATAGATTTCCTGGGACTATCCACTTCAATGTCATTTCAGTGTAGCAGTATGATCTATGACTGTGGTTCTCAAACTGGGAGTCACAACAAGGTGTTAAGAGGGTCGTGAGATGTCTGGAGTATCAGGGCATAAAGGAAATAACTTCTAAAGTCTTAGACTCCTTCCTGCATTTGCGTGAGAGGGAATTGTGCACAGCCTGTGAATACTCTTAGGGAGGTCACATGTTTTCAAAGTTTGAGAACTGCTGATCAATGGCAATACCAAAATTTCAGACTCTAATGACTGGTATTCGATATCTCAGGCTAGAGCTTTTCTGTAGTATACAGTGGTGGCCTAAGTTATTTCATCTCTTTGAATTTTGCATTTTTTTGACTCAGTTCATGCAACATAAATACTCATGCATTATGAAGTGATGATCTGTTATTGCTTCAGTCAACTAAACTGCCAACTGAAGGGGACATATAAAAAATATATATCAGCTACTTCTTATATGATTATTAAATTTATTGGCAGTCACTTTGAGAAACTGTGCAATGACAAATGGCAAACAAGGCACCCTTCTAGCTGCCTTCTTGCTATACCCAAATTCTTCAGTCAAAATGCCCCAAATTGAGTTGGCTTTTATTCCAAGAGTCTGTTCAAGTTTTTCCAGCGTCATTCGACCATCTCTGTCAACCACCACTTTCACAGTCGCCACATTTTGTTCATCAGTCGCCATTCGGGGGCATCCCTCGCATGGGTCATCCTGGACACTAAAGTGTCCAATTTGAAATCATTGAAGCCACTTTGACACAGTCTCCAGAGATGGAGCTTTGTCCCCAAGCACAGTTTTCAACTCATCAAAGCAAGGTTTAGCTTTTAAACCGTGCAAAAAGTTGTAGAGAATGAATGATTGAATGAGTTCATTAATCAGAACCAGAAATTGAAGTGAATTATCATCATTACTTTTTCGTTTTCTTGTCTCCATGACTACCTGGGTCATGTCAGTTAGTCACAGACAGATTAAGGAAACAGGGAAAAAAAATTTGTCTGACTTGCACAATGGTCACCAGGCAACTCAGAGGACTTTTTAAAAACTCCTTGTAATTAGAAATTGCCTATAATCATAGTGTAGTATATGGTGTGAAATTTGTGTTCATTAATTTTCAGCCTCCCTTTTTTTTAAATTGCATTGCAATTTTCTGTAGTTTACCATTCTGAAGAGCTTGTTCCTTACACTGCATTTTGGGCATACGTCACAAGCAATCTAAATTGGGAAAGTGCTTCTTGATTTTTAGGCTATGAAAATTTCTTAAGCAGGAAAGAGATAAAAGATGGTTAGTGCTAAAACCAGAAGAAAGCATCACCCACAGTGCTTTAACTTATTATTTAAAGTTTAGGAGCCCCCTAAGCATCATCATTTGTCAGCTGTGTTTTAAATTTGACTAAGGGGAGCTAGTCAAATGGCAAAAATATGAGTTCCCAGAAATTTTTTATTTACTATCACATTCCATTTAAATTCCTAATGTTGCTTCATATTTCATATGGATCTTCACAAGTTCTAGAAATGCTCTTGACCCTTTGAGACCTAGTGTCCACTCATGTGGACATTGATAGGGTTCTCATATTTTCTGAATGTTTTTGCTTTGAATTATTAACCAATCATGAACCAAATTGTGACTCATCATAAATTAATCAGGTATCAATCAATCTCTGTCACTGCTTTTATTTCCTTGCTAGACATTCTGATTGACGAAGATTGAATGATCAATAATTTTATTATATGTTTAGGAGATTGACATTGGATTGGCAAGTGAAATTAGAGCCATGAACTTGACTCACACTGGGGAACTTGGTTGGGTCCTCTACATTCCCAATGAGGTTAGTTCACCTTCTTTTAGTGAAATTCATTTCCTTAATAAATAAAAAATATGTATTGGCTGTTTTTGTAATCACTTGGGTGTCAGTGTCTCTCTATCTCTCTTTCCATGCTGCCCATTTCAAAGGTTTGTGAGGATATGACTGGTTCTAAATTTCACCAGCTTTTGCCAGTACTCAGAATTGTGATAAACTGGATGTATGTATGCCTTTAGAAAATATTGACTCAATCATAAATTTATTATAAAATGAATGTGAAACTCAAAGACTCATGGAGAAGTAGAACTAGACAACATACCCAGTTCACCTCTATCATCAATTATCCCCATGTACTAACCAGTCTCAAATTCATAGTCTTGTTAAAATTTGGTTATAGTTACACTAAGAATTGTAGTTTCTAAACTTTAGTTTAGTCATTGTTTTATTTGCATTCAGCCAAACCTGCCACAAGAATGTGCCATAACTTGGATTTTGAAATCACTTTGCTAGTTTTAGTCTGACTTGGGTTGAATGAGGCTTCTTATGCAATCATGTGAATGTCCAAGCTCTGCCAAAACTCACAAATTTGATGAACTTGATATATATTTGGTTTGAGAATAATCAAAACCATTAGCATATTTATTATGAAATTAATATGAACTTTCAAACTTTTAGAGGAGTTTAGCATGATTGTCATCACTCCTCATCCCAACAGCCTACCATCACCATGTAGCTCTAATCGTCTCTTGCTATTCTTGCTTCCCATCTATTCTATTCATCCTGAATCATGTTGTCTGTATCACTTTTGATGGTCCACTCAAAGGAGATCACAGTGGCCTCATTCCCCACTGAGGGGATCACTCCTGCCTTTAGGGAGAAGTTGTATGTGTCAATTAGTGGGATGGATGGGTGAACTCTTTAATGTATATGTGAAAAAACTATGAAAGTGATGCTGCTCTCCATGGATTTAATTTTTACATGAACTGTTGGAGTGACTTGACAGCTGCCAAGATTCAAGGAAGTGAAATGAACTGAGTTATACCTGTTGAAAGAAGATCTCTTGGAATGGAGGTAAATCTATAGTTTGTTTCCTTCTTAGTATGCCCTTCATGTGTACAACTGCCTGATTGAAGCTGGGAAAGAGTATGGAGTCCAAAATTGTGGGTACTATGCCATGCGAACACTGCGCATTGAGAAGTTCTATACCTTCTGGGGCCAGGATCTTGATACAGCTACCACCCCATTGGAATGTGGCCGTGCCTTCCGTGTTTATCTTGATGTGAGTCTTTTCTCTCTCTCATTCCATTCTCTGCCCATTTGACCAATGAATAAGCTATTGTATTTTAGAGTCGTTATTATTGTAAAATAAACATGCTTTATTTTTCAATTGAAAGGAAGAGAAGAACCAGGAAGGCTAGGAATGTATAGGTCAAAATTAATGGATATGAATTTCCACTGATGCCTTTTGTTTCAGGATAGCCATGAAATGATAAACTTAATTTGTTATATAAGTGTATACATCACAAGAGAAAATATGTAGGGCTGCCAGATTCTGATGAAACTATTAATTGCAGGCTCATTTTTTAAAAGTGGTTCTTGTCATGGGCAATATTCAATATTGCTAGCTATGCTCATCAGATTCTTTCCATGGTAGCCATGACATTGCAAAAATCCTCATGGTAGAAGACACACCAGAAGATGATGTACTAACTCCTTGGTTGATATTCATGGCTATTTCACTACCAAATAAAGGAGTGAGTGGTGAATAAGAGGGAAATCCCCAGAATTTATTGTCATAAATGGTGACCGCTGACATTGTTCCAGAGGATTGTATATGTTTCTCCTTACCACCAACTTGACTTTTGGCAGTGGGATGAAAAACATGCATTAGGTTTGACCACAAATATTTCAGAGTTCACTTTAGTGCATAATGCAGGGTGTCTGACACTTATTGCTGGATTTCAGTCCTGTATGTAAGTCAAGTCATTCAATCACATGTTAAATGAATGTTGTTTTTTTAGACAAAAGTTTAAAATATCATTAAACTTTTTAAAATTTTTTTATTCTTTTAGCTATTCCCAGATGGCAAACACAACTAAATTACATGTGATATTATCAACATGTCAAGAGAAGATTTAATATACCATCACTTGGTTTTTGCTTTAGTGCATGGTTCTCTGTGATGGATCTGCCAAAACTCTTTGACTGCTTTCAGGACTGACTGAACTTCTGCAAACACAAGACTCATTGTCTACTCTCCATTGGATGCCATGTTGGCAATATCACATGTACTGTAATTTTGTCACCATCTGGGAACTGTTTTAGGAATTAATTTATTGACAAAAGCATAATGAATCTTTAGACTTTCATCTAAATATTAAACGTTTATTAATTTTTTGTTTAATATGGAGGGTGTAAGTGGTTTTAGTTTGTATAAGGGAATAAAATCATTCAATAAATCTCAGATGCGATGTCTTACAGATACAACCCTAGTGATTATTGTAAACAACAAAGCAAAGTGACCACCAAACCCAGGCCTATCCCCAAGGGTCTATAACGTAACCCCAAAAATTGAAACCTTAAAGGAACTGAAACGGGGAATGTAACTGTAGGTGGAAAAAGACCGAAAATGTAGAACTTGCACTCCCAGACTGAGGCTGCTACCCACAGCCATTTCTCCATGCAATGTCAGATCAATTTCAAATGATGAGGACTTTTTTCTTGTGCATGATTGTTGCATTGGCCTTTTTACCTATTCAGGACATCCTCAGTGCCTATAATTTTCTTCTCCTGCAAATTCCTGAATATGGAAAGGAGATTGTAACTCACTTCTAAGAATTTTACATTGATGGTAGGCCCATGTGAGGCCATCCTCACATTCCACTTTTCCCCTTCGGCATGTGAAATGTCTACGAGGCTTCAAAAAGCTAAGATCCTCGAACAAACAATTTGGTTGAAGGATGGAATCTCAGGTTCTCATCACTCCTGCCATCGGATCATCCAAATTTTTTTACCTTGGAAATCCTCCACTAGGAGCAGAGTATGTTGGAACAGGAAAGAGAACTACTCTTCATGGGCCATGAATCGAGGCACAGACAGAAGGACATTCAGCTCGACTGCAGGATTCAGAAAGTTTCTAACGACTATGCAAGCAGAGATGTCCTGAACTATCTCAGTAGTGTTACACATAATCTGGAGTTTCGAACCCCTCCTTTTGCTTTCAGATAAACATATGGACAAAAAAAAGTGTCATTTGACTTTTTGGTGATTCAAGTTTTGACAGTTCTTTCTTTTAGTGCATTCAAGATACAGTACATTCGAGGTTTCAGTTTTCTTCATTTTGTCATGCTTCGATCCCCAAATCTGTCTTTTGGCTCCTACTCCTCCCTACTGCTAAGCTATTAAGCGGCTCCTCTTGGCTGCAACTGTAATCCTGACCATGTCCTTCCTCAAATAAATTAAAACAAATCAGTACTCATCTAAGTTGGAAGTGGATGGATCACTGGTTGTGTGCCTGCTGGCAACAATGACTTAGTCACTGAATGTTATTCTGGCTTTGCAGTGCTGTCACCCCCTTCCTGCATTTCAACCTAGAGCCCTTAATTGGTCAGCCTCAAATTATTTTGAATCAAAAGGACTTCCAGGCAAAATTTTGACCACGTCTCTCAGCAGAATTATTTGCAAACTCAGAATGTGAGCTCAGCAAACTTCCCAAGAACCTTCCAGTAGAATCTCACTACAGGAAATAGGAGATCAGCACTATGGGAGCAGATAGGAGTCAAATAAGTCCTAGCAGGACTATGCATGTGAATGAAAATTTGAATAGGCTTTTCTTATCTTGAAAGCTGCCTTCAGCTAAACAATGCAACCCTACCTCTTTTCATTTGCAATATTTGACTACCTCCCAAAACTGCTTCTGTTGCCCTTTGTATCTGTTCAGTTTATGCTGACAGTCTCTCACCACATGTTCAAGAAACAGCTGCCAACTGTTATGACTGAATCTCTTTTGCTTAAACTGTGTGAATTCAGATCTGGACCACATTGGGAATGTGTTTCCGTCTCGAAAGTATTTAAATCCTGGATCTTCCTATGCAACCACAAGCTCTATAGATTTTAAAAATTATTTCTTTATTTGTTCTGGTTTGCCCAGTCTTTTCCTATTTATTTTTTACTTACTTCAATTCTGTCTTCTTTTGGCATGACTACATCTGCAGAAGGACTTCATTGGCCGTGAAGCTCTGCTGAAGCAGAAAGAGGAAGGTGTGAAGCGGATGTTGGTCCAGCTGGTTGTTGAGAATCACGATGTGGAATATGATCTGCTTCCATGGGGTGGGGAACCCATTTACAGGGACAACAGATTTGTGGGACAGGTTACCACTGCCTGTTATGGATTCTCCATGGAGCAGCCTGTAAGTGTCATGGAGAGTTGTATTGCTATTTGAATAGGTTTAGACTGTTTATGTCCATTGGTTGCATATTACTTAATTCCATTCCACAAAAAAGTGAGTAGTGGAGAAGCAATGGGCAAGACAAGACAAACTGTACCATCTCTCTGTTTGTCCTGTCAATACTTCTCCAAGAACCCTCTTGTATTATGTAATGAATTAAAGAAAGTGAAGGGAGCTTCCCTAATATATATAATTTTTGCAATTGGTAAATTAAATTCTAGCAATAAACTTAGAAGGATGAGCAGTGTCCACTGAAGATACTTCAGGGGACAAGGGGGTTCCCTTCATGAACCTCAAGTTCATGAAGTGCTTCCCAACTTAAGTTGTGTGTGTCATGAGAGCTCACACTAACTTGAGAAACTTATAAAACCAGAAAGAGCAGATCGAGAAAAATTGAAATGTAATCCAAGAAAATTAGTTGGAGTTTCATAGGAATGAGGGGTAATTTTGGAAAATTCAAGGAAATGGGAAAAATTGCCTTTTAAAGCCCAAGAAGGAATTCAAGGAAATTGGCATTGATAAAGGGATGGGGGAAGCCATGTATGAAAACACAAATTTTGGTCTTGGAAATAATCATAGATAGATAGATATGAGTTTCAGTCATGGGAAAGGGAGAGATATTGATTCCCAAAGTTCTGTTGAGTGTTCAAACCAGATTGTAGTGGGTGCCATGTTCCAAACTTGCAGGTGTGTGTTGGGTTCATCCAGAATCCAGATGCAGAGGGGCACCCACAACATGTGACCCCTGAATATGTGAATTCAGGGGACTTTGAGATAGACATAGCTGGGATGCGATACCCAACCAAGGTGAATCTCCATTCTCCGTCCCTTCCGACCAAGTTTCCCGAGCCGATCAAAGGTCGCTATGTTGCAACCCAACCAGAAATGCCAATGTCAGCCAATGCTAGGAGCTGACTGTGAATGTCTCACCAGTCCATCCTAATCCTTGCAGAACCTATCTGTGATTCAGAGTACTAGTAGATCTGTCACATGCCTAAACCCTTTTTGTGCATGTGCATTTCCTACTTGTATGAGTGGCATTGCCTGCAAACAGCTATTCGTGACTTTTGATTAATTCCCTGACCAGAAAAATGGGTTCCCAAAGAGCAAATATGTTGCCCTTCCATATATCTTTGTTGTTTTTGGGCTGGCTTTACATCCAAAACTCAACATCTTACATCTTATATTATACCTATACAGGGTGATTCATAATTATTTTAAAAGTTTCAAATGTAGATATTTTGCTGCATTTAGCATAAAACAGACTTCTTTTCCACATGAGTGCAAATAACCAGGATTCAACCTGTAAAATATCATCTGAGTAGTCTCACATAAGGTTCGGGAAATGGTTTAATTATTTTGGTCATAGAGATTGAATGGCCTCTCAGCATAAGCAGTGTTTAGCAAAGCCTCAGAAAAAATGTGAATTTTGGGGTTGATTCTGGTGAGCATGAAGTCCATCTCAACAGATCACCCCTTCCAATCTAGCCAACTGTCAAAATGGCTATTGAGTCCTTTGCTTACATGCCAATAAAAAGTGCACAGGAGTACTCTCTTGCATGAAAGTGAGCTCTTATGATGTTCCTCTGTCCTGGCTGAATCTCCAGTTGAATTCTGAATCTCTGGCTAGAAAAGTCTTTCTACACTGCTGATAGGCATTCCCGGGAAAACCCTTGTTTTGTTTTAATCACCTGTTGCTGCCTTTGGACATCAAACTTTGCAGAGCATCCCAACCAATTAAGTTTTCAAGAACTTCTTGTGTAGTTCAACAATGGTTGCATGAGCATCTACAGTGGGATATGAAGGTGGGAGCTGATGGGCTTCAAGACCCCCCTTGGTCGTCATTTGACTTTCTCAATACTTAGCCCCCTGCCTAATATGTTTTATGTGCTACTGGGTCAATGGATCTTATTTTTAAAAAAAAAAGCTCAACTCCTAGTGCTGGTTACACTCTGCAACACTTGCTTCCAAACAGCATTTCATTCTTTCCAGCTTGTTTATCATGAATGTGTTTAAAACAGATTAATAACTGACTTATAAAAAAGTTTCTTTACAATTCAGTAAAAATCACCACAGGTACTTAAAATACCTCCTAATAAAAAAAAGCAAGGGAAAAAAATAGTGTTTAACACAGAGGGAAAAAAATTTATTGTATTTTTAATTATGAATCACCCTGTATGTAGAGGAAAGTAGATGTGAAAGCTGCCCCATCTTTTGGTGAACCAGATAATTTAAGCTTTATTTGAATTTTATTTAAGTTTGAACTTTATGGTGGCTTGTTGTCATAAGGTTTTTTGCAACTCATTGGCAGCCTAATGAAGGCAGAATTAGTTGGAAAAACTCTCACCGATGCCCATAAATGGCACAAAGGCAAGGCCAAAATTTCCATGGCCTTGATTCTGAAATGGAGAAGCCCAAGGTGATCTTATGTTTTTCATTTTTGGAAAGAGATTTTCTTTATCTCTTAATAATCTTTGAAAATTTTAAGATATGTTAGAGATGTATGCTCTCTTCACTTGTGCCAACTAAAGCTGAATCCTCACCAATCCTCTTCCTTGTTTTCAATTTCATGCATAAATGAGTGGTAGTTTAATATATTCTCATCAGATGTACAAAGCCAAGTTTGAGTGGCAGGGAATCCACAACTGTATGTGCAATACTGTATGTGCAATTTTTTTTTTAGTAAGTGAGCTGTGAAGTGAATGCCAATAGACCTTCTCAGATCATTCTTGATCAACGGTATAATGAAGGTGGTTATCCGCCTTCATTATACCGTCGATCACACTTTCCCCTTGTTCAAGTGCATGCATGCCCTATGCAAGCACTGAGTGATATCAGGGGGAGTATTTCTGCTTTTTCTGTACCCAAGAAGTCTGCTATCCTGCACATGACTCATAATGTTTACTTTCTTCTTTTTTTTCTTTGTGCCTCATGTTAATCATGTTAACTGATTAGAAAAAGATCTTCCCTGAAGGTATGTAAAGGATGGTTGTCTATTATGGGCTCCAGAGTTAAAGCTTAAACAATTTTATTTCATATAAACTCTGTGAATGGTACCTTATTACTCAGTGTTTCACTGCCCAACAATTTAAAACTAGAATTACCAAGGTGCTGATGAACCTGGCGTAAGCCATCATGGTGACAAAGGTGAAGCTTTCTTCCAGGATTGAAAGCTTGCCCAATGACTTGTTCTTATGTGGAAAGGAATGGCATTGAAAAATTCCCCCTCCTTAAGCTGAAATGTTTTCTTATTATTTGCAGTTAAGGCCTAGATTGAAAAAATTGAAGGCATTGCCTTTGCAACTGTTACTTTGATTCAAAGCCTCATGTGCTTCACAGATTTTTATTTTTTTGTGGAAAAACTCCTACAGCTTGTGCAACCTCTCCAGGCACATGTGAAAAATCCATGAAGCATCATATTTGCCTTTGATTGCTTTATTTTCCTATAATTCTCTGTGCTTTCTATGGAATAAATTTTCCAATCTGTATGGCTCTATATGAAAGCAGACATCCTAAGGGAACTTCCCCTTATCTTTAATTAGTACAGTGGGTCCACATGACCTGAGGGCATTTGTTTTCCTGTACTATCCAATTGTTGATAGTATTGTATCGGCCTTAGTAATTCTCATTACCTGCTGTCCTTGAAACACCATTGAGTTTGACTGCAAAAAGCATTCCACTGTGCTCCTCATGCATTTGTGTTAGTGGTGCCCTCAGGCAATAAAATAAAATTTTGTTCATCATGCACATCTGTTCCCCTTGCATGGCTTATCTGTTACCAGAATCAGAGGTGGTTGGTTAACACCAAGCACCTCAGATTCTGATTGAGCAATGTAGTTTATGGGAAATATACAAAATGGCTAATTTGGTCTTTAAAGCTCCACTGGACCACTATGCAGGCTGAAACAGTTAGCAAAAGCTGATCTGATTTTTGTGACCTGAAACTTAGACCTTATGTAATTTCTGAGCTTGCATTGTGAAAAATTTTCTTGAGTTTCAGTTTTGACATAGGACTCATTCAAACAATCATCCTTTTCATTCTGTTTCATGGCACCGAAATTTCCCTTTCCTTTGGAATTGTTTATTATTACAGTGGCCAGGGTTGCAGGTTTAAATATGCTGAAAATTATTGTTGTGGATCTGTGGATGATATCGTATTGTACTTGATGTCGAGATTGTTCTTGGATCTTGGAGACAGTGACTTATCTCTTGCTGACCTTGTTGCCAGATTTCTCTCATGTTCTCTTGTCTTCTGCCTGTGCATTCACAATTGTCCCCTCTGGAAGTAGACGAGAGGTAAATCACCCTTTTGACAACTGGGTCAAAGTGGAATCTTCAAGCCTCCTCTTGCTTTGCACCCACATCCACCTCTTATGAGAAAAAGGGGAAGACATGAAAAAATCCTCTGTGTGTCTTTCCTTGACCTTTCATCCCTTTCCCTGCCCCATCTATTTGAAGATTTTGTTGCATTGGGTGAGATGATTGTTTCCCTTTTTTTTCCAGCATTGCCTCTGGTCAGAGAATCTTCCCCCTCTCCCCCCATCCTCCCTCCCAGAACTTGAATTCCTCATTGATATCATGAAACATCAATGAGGAATTCTCTTTGATAATGAGTGAATTTTTCTGGTGGGCAAATAACATCCCTAGACTGGAGGAACCCCATGAATTCAGCTTTCAATATGATGTTGAATTTGACTTTGAATATGTTCCTCTCTTTGACAAGAGAACTGCATATAGCCAATTCATATTATGTGCCAATCCTAGCTTGTCTGTGGATATTTCAAACGACTTCCTTTCATCATCCTAGATCAGGCAGAAATGGAAATACTGTTTGATCGTGTGCATTTTTATGTATAATTTTGGACTGTGAATCATGACTTGCTTCTTGAGGATTTTGGACATGTCACTTGTGGGAAGAGGATGCATGCTACATGTTGAAAAGTGATGGAGATGAAAATTTCAAGGATGTTGAATATAAATTGTTCAAAGATTGAAGAAAAGTTATTGCACAATGATTCTCTCTCTTACCCATGCAGGCAAATGGTCGACGACAGTCTCATTAGCCCAAAGTGCATGGGAGTGACCCCAGCCTTTGCTCATGTGCTAATTGGCCTAGAAAGAACGTCCGCAACTTTACATGCTTACAACTGGATTACAATACAAGATATCGGCAGGAAACGTAGTTTCACGTTTCATATACATATATAGTTTATAGAAATGTTCAATGAAATTTGTTTTTCAGAACCTGAGTGAGACCTTTCTTTGATTTGGATTGAATTAATTTTTCCCCATGGATTCTGGTCGTCAAAACCTGGCATAAGTTACAGCACAGAATATAGTCAAATAGACTATAAACATTAGTTGAGGTCAATGACAATATGTCTCTCTCTGAAAGACTTGCGTCCAATAATCGTTGAAATTTGGATGTGTTGGCTTTTGGATGGCGAATACCATTTCTGCTAACAGGACCACACAATTGTCCAATGGCTTTTTGAATTTCTGGTCTCAAAGGATGATCTAAACTCCCTAAAATAATTATGGCCAGAGAAGTAGAATTTACTTCCTCAACAAAGTTGGTAACATATACCTTGCTGTTTATATTGGAAGTAGAGGGAAGCTTCTGCAGCTACTTCAAAAACAGACATTTCCTTGCATCAGTCAAATAACCAGCACATAATTAACGAGACTTGATGCAATATTCCACTGAGTTATGAACATTCCCGAGTTGACGGACTGCGAATACTGATTAATTTATTATAAAGAATAATTTATTGTAAAGGTATTCGACTTGATTCTTAAAAATTAGACTAGAGTCTGTGGTTATACCTTAGTCCTTCACACTGTCCAACTGCGCCACCAAAGTGCCCCCGGTTTTTATTTGTGTCCGCCATTCCACAGGGACTTCTTTCTCTGATATGAAGACTATTTCTACAGATTTTT